GGGAGCGAGAGAGCGAGGGAGGGACAGGGAGGGACAGCCAGCCAAATTTGATACTACTGCTCTTTGGCTGAAGTCCTAAAATAGTTTCTCTAAAGCCTAAGTGTTACTATACAAGCCAAGCTCATGAACATAGCTCTCTTCCGCTCTACCTTTATTGTCTCTTTCTATTCTTTCTCATTTTCTCAGATGAAGAACTGTTAGACTGAGTATATATGTAAATGGTTGTCTATGTAAAATACACATACATATAGTGGCATAGAGTGTACTGTTTTTCACTCTTGCATCTAAGCACCTTGTTTCGAACATTTCCCCCCAGTGCAACCCCATACTCCTGGCTGTTAATCATTGTCACAATCTTCAGGAAGTCTTACTGGTTTATCAAAACCCATCGTGATGGATTTTTACAGGTGGTGCATGCCTGTAATCCTAGTGGTTGCAGGGCTGAGGCAGAAGGACTGCTGTGAGTTCAAGGCCAGCAGGGTTACATAATGGGTTCAAGTTAGTCTGAAGTATGTAGGGAGACCCATCTCAAAAAAACAAAATCAAAACCAAACCAAAACAAAAAATCCACAGCAACAAAAACCCATCTTGAGTTGGAAATGCTAGGTGGGAAAGAACAACAGGGGAGATGAGATCAAGGAGGTAAGGCTAACAGTGAGTAAAAGGATGTCAGGTATGGGTACCACTGCACTTTTAATCTGGAGGGTGGATACACAGGTGTTTATAATTCATTAAACCATACATGCATACACTTTACAAAAAATTTCCTTTTTTTTTTTAAAGCAGGGTCTTGCTATGTAACTCAGGCTGTCCTTTAATTTACTATGTAGCTCAGGCTGGCCTTGCACCCACAGGAACTTGCAGTGAGCCTCCTACTTCAGTCTCCCAAGTGCTGAGATTATAGACGTCCCCACTATGGCCAATTCTAAAAATTTTTCTTAAAGAGATTTGTTAGGCTGTTGTGAGGATTACACTTGTTGGCTTGATTGGTTTGAAAGCGACCTAGGGGATTACTTGAGCACACTTATGGTTGTGTCTGGATGGAGGCTGATGAGGACTCTGGTCACTGGGCTCTGCCTCTCTGGCACTATTCCCCTGAGCTTTGCTTCCCGGTCGCCATGAAGTGAGAAGCTTTGCTCCACCATGCCCTTCTACCATGATTCTTTTGTCTTAGAGGCAGCCATGGACTGAAACTTTTGAAACCATGAACCAAATAAACCATCTCTGTCTTAAATTGAGGGTGCCAGGTATTTTGTCCAGCAACAGGAAAACACATCTGTGCAGAGGCAAAGAATTAATATCTGTGTCACCCTCCACTACTTAAAAGAATTTGTCCTCCCAATATCTCTGAAGATCATCTTATCAATATTCAATAGATGGTGTTCAGATTTTGAATATTCCTTCCTCTTCTTTTTCCAAGTCTCTTCTTTCATGACATCACTCAAAGCAGGTTATCGGCAAGCCTTCTCTTATTGGGTTATCCAATCCACTCCTATTAATACACTACTAAAATAAACACCCCTCTGTCCGACCATTCCACACATATTCAGACCAAATTCATTAGCTTGCCCTTCATCCAAAATTTGCTTTTGCTCTCTTCAGTATCTCCTATCTCAGTGACTAACCAGAAGCGTAAACTTTGCTCAGTGTCTAAATTCCCCTCTATACCAAGGGGTCTTTACAACTTTTGTCCTACACTCAGTAGAAGATAGAATTTGGGCCGAGAGATGTTAATTTCTTCGTGGCATGCCTGTAAGTTATGTTGAAGCTGGCTCTATAAACTTAATAATATTTAATTGACACTGAAAGAGGGAATTTCTGGATTATTTGGGTGAGCCCAATGTAATCACATGAGCTCTTAAAAGCTTCGGCTCTAATGTAGCAATGGAGAAACTAGACACTCTGAAAGACAAAGAGGATTCAATGTGTCACTGTTAGCTTGGAAAATGAAGAGAATTACATGTTAAGTAAACAGGGACCTCTATTCTACAACTGCAATATTTAAGACAAGCCTATCTGGTCATGAAGGTACAAAGTGCTCCAGGCAGCTAAACGAAAAGAGAATTCTCTGCAGGGTCTCAAAACCGGAGTCAGGTCCCTTCGGACATGACACCAATCTGCGTGGGGTGAGAATGCACTTTTCCCCATCCACCCTAAGGAAAACTATATTGGTGGGGGGAAAGCTATATTCCTTAACCAAGCTTCAACCTCATTCTACAATTTGCTCTGAACCTACACATCCCGCTCAAGCCAACACACCCCTCCCAAATTCACACATGGAAGACTAACTCAGGATCTAGAAACTCAAAATCTTAAAAGATGCTGGGGATGTAGTTGAGTGATAATGCACTTGCCTAACCTGTGTGAAGTTTTGGGCTCCATCCCCAGAACCCCGAGAACAGCAAAAGCAAAACAAAATGAATCACTTTAAAACGTGACAATGAAGGCCGGGGATTCAGCTCAGTGGTTCTGCCGCCTGCCTCGCAAGCGCAAGGACCTGAGTTCGGTCCCCGGTACCAAAACAAAAACAAACCACAAAACGTGACGAGTTGAAAGCAAAGCACGCAACAGGGGTTCATTAAACAGGCCAGTGAAAAGTACAATCCGTGAGAACAGAGACACAAAGGCTTCAAAGGAGGGGGCGCTGGAATAGTTCTGCTCCCAGCGGAGGAGACCTCCAAGCGACCACCGCACGCGCTCCCCCGTTCCCAGCAGCCCCGAGTTCGGGTCTGGCCCAGCTCTACCGCACCACAAGCACCGGCAGGGAAGGCTGGGCGCAGGAGGCCTGCGCTGGGAAACAGGAGCTTTACCTCTCCGCGATGTAAAGGCTGCCAATGCCGAGGCTTTTCCCGTTCAGCACAGCCTCGGTATCTGACTGCTGGTGCCGGAGCCCCTCTGCCGGACCCGGCGGCGGAAAACTTTTGAGGAAGCTCATTGCACCTGGGAGAATCGAAACACAAGTTCGCAAGGAGCCGAAACACTGGAATCGCCGTTCACAGCGGCCCGCCCCGGAAGTGTGGCAATCAACCCGGAAGAACAACTTACGCTATACAGGACTTTGAACGTCATCAACCATAGAGATGAGACATTCTGGGAAAAGCGCTCGGAAGTCTTGGAGGGCCCAGCGACTTTGTCACGTGACAGTCCCGCTCCCCCCCCCCACTTTCTGATTCGCTAGCTGAGATTCGTTAGGCTATCCCGAGTCGTCACAGCACACCTGTGAAAAAGGAAGTACAATAAATATTAGTATCCCCTTTTCTACGAAAGTGGAAAGGGGCCTCAGACAAGGAGTCCCTCGACTGAGGATGCACCAGAAGTCTAGAGCCCAGAAGTTTTGTGTCAGAGTTCAAGATTTTTCTCCTCCAGACCGGGGATTTAGCTTAGTGGTGCCGCGCCTGTCTTACCTTACAAGCGCAAGGTCCTGAGTTCGGTCCCCCGTTAAA